GAAAAGATTTGTCTGTACTCTGCACCCAGAAAAGACAAAGTGTGCGATGATAGGTACACGTCACAGCAGGTGTGTGACATATACCATGTGATCAGAGGTAGCAGGGCAATCCGTGGCTAGCACTTCCAGGACTACTACATTCAGATAAAACGGTATAAACCGAGGTCCTGTATCACAGTAGGTACTGGCACAAAAGAGGCCCCTCACTGCTCAATGGCCAATTTGGCCATAATTGCTGAGTATAGAATAGATTTAAAGCTCTCCACCAGCAAATGGTGGCGTCTCCATATGAATGAAAAATTCTTGAGAGGGACATTAAACAACATAAAAACAAACAAAAAACATTAAGGCCAAGCTTAAAAAATTTTTGTTTGCAGTTGCCGACCTATAATTTTTAGTCTGGGTAGGTAGGTAGGCAATATTTTTTTTTTTTTTTTTTTTTTAAATTGTTTCCAGAATTTTGTTAGATAACATAAAATATAGTTTTTCACAGGCCTACTATACATGAATAAGCTGCACTCTTGGTATAATATCAGATTGATGAAGATTAAAATTGAAAATGAAACAGTTTTAATATCCTGAAAAATTGGAGAAAAAAAAAAAAATTCAAAATGGCTAAAAAAAGTTTGGGTCGGGTGCATTTTCAGTGGGTCGGTCGGCAACTGCAAACAAACAATATTTTATTTTAGGCCTAAGTTAAAAGTCTGACTATTGATAAATTGTCTTGATTGGCTGATTTTATCTATGATTGGATGAAAACAATTTTTATGAAATAACTGTTATGTTGCAGATTATGCACAAGTTGAAGAAAGGAGCTGCTGTGGGATGGTAAAAAAAGTTCCAGGTAATGGACAACCTTTTCCATTTATTTTAAAGGGGTATGAACATTGCATATTTACTGTAAAATCACAAATTTTCGTGGAGGTTTAATTTTCCTTGTTTTTGAGGTGTGAAGACCCACAAATTCATGTCCACCACGAAATGTAAAGTGTTACATATAAAACTACTCAACAATTCTTCAGACACAAAATCAAATTCCCAGGATCCAAATTTTTTTCTCAAACCATGAAAGTTTGAACACACGAAAATATGTGATTTTACAGTAAGTATGTTCACCTCTGGGTCAATCTAATTAAAGTTAAATGTTAGATCTGCTCACATACTTGCTACTCTAACATCTAACAATATCACATGGAGGGTCACATCTAAGGTCAAATTCGTAACAACTGTAGACTTATTCCTTTGAACAAATATTCAATGATTTTGCAGGCGACAATTTGATTGGATGATAGAATCTGACCTCTGACTTGACCCTCTGTGAGATGTTGTTACTGGATATTAGTGTAGCAAGTATGCGAGCGGATCTAATGCCTTTGGGTGTTTTTTTTTTAAATTCACAGCTTTTAAGAGTTATATAGATAATAGATTCTAAATTTGAGAATTTCTACATTTTTAACTCAATCATCTGTCACCATGAGAAATACAAATTATGCTCTAGTTTTTAAAGAATTATTTGCACAGTTTCAGGAGCAACAAAGAGTCTTAACTTTTATAGGGGTGCAGATTTTAAAGAAAGAAAACTGTGTTGTAAAGAAAGAAGATTTTCCATCAAATAATGGTGGATGACAAAGGTAAAGAGGACAGTAATGATTAGAAAGAATTAATTATTTAACACAGGGGCAGATTTTTTGTTGCAGTTTGTAAATGCTATTCAAAATGTTTAGCATAAATTTTTATTAAAATATCATGATGGATGTTCATGCAACTAAAAGCTCTTATCAATGTTTATAGTTTAAGCATATGAAGATTAATCAAAGTCTCTTGAATAGTTTCTTTAAAACTAAGCTTTACTCACTAATTTAAAGAAAGGTCAAGGTCAAAAGAAAGGTCAAATAAAATAATGATTATGAAATTGAATAGATTCCATCAGTATGTATCTGGCACTATCTGCATATATATAAGGTTCGATAAAAATATCTGAAACAACTCTTGAAACCGAACTTTACATAATTTAACAAAAATTAATGTCAAGGTCAGAAATAAGAAACTCTTATTAATAAAATATATGTATCAGCATATGAAGTTCAAAGTGTGATGGAAGGACAGTAAGGTGAAGCCACAATATTGGGTCATTTTTCATTGAAAAAAGGAACATTTTTTTTAAATTCTGTGGAACACTAGAACCAATTGACCTAGGTGAGCATTGTGGCCCATGGGCCTCTAGTTATGTGTTATTTAATTCATCATGAATCTGGTGGTATAATGATTTTTTATATTTCAGTTCTTCCTATGAATGATGTCATAACCCACTTTGAAAAAAAAGTTTGTTGGAGAGAAAAGGATCTGAAGAGGGAGAAAGAATTGTTTATATTCAGATGGATTTATAGACTGTTAGACCTTTTGCTGTCACTTAATTCTGTACTATTAGTTCTGCAACACTGAGCCTATAAGCTTTTGACTTGACGGTTTATCTTATTTGAGAGAGCATAGTCCATTTTTTAGGCATTTCAAGATTAACAATGCAGAATATGTACATATGTAATGGCAGGTAAAAATCCCACACAAACAGGACACTGATAAGACTGGAATATAGAGATATTTCATTTCTCTCTTGTGTGAATTAAAAAAAAATTAATGCCAGAAACAATATAATAAATTAATAACTTAGTCTTGTTTTGTGCTTATACTTTTATGCCCCCATAAATGAAGTTTGGAGGGTATACAGCAAAACTCGCTTAGTACGAACACGGATATTGCGAATTTACGGATAAAGCGGAGTCATCTTGGATCCCCAGCTATATAAATTTAATGAATTTCTTGTATGATTATAACGAATTACGGATATAGCGAAGTAATTTCATAGGTCCCTGTGACTTCGTTATAATGGAGTTTTGCTGTATAGTTTTTGTCATGTCCATCTGTCTGTCTGTTTATCTGCAAAAGCTTTAACCTTGCCCATACCTTTTGATTTTATTAGTGGAGCTATGACTTTCATATTTCACATATGTATTCTTTGTATTAAGACCTTTCGTTGGAAACCACCAACTTTGACCTTTTGACCTTGGAGATTTACATACTAATAAAAACAACGCAAAGATTAAACTTTTCTCAAATGCAAATTGAATTAATTGGTACCAAAAGTAAGGTATTCTCACTGGAAAATAATTGTGAAATTTGAAAGTAGTCCAATGTTAAAGTACTTTCAATAAGTACAAATATCTCCTAGGTCAAAAGGTCAAGGTAATTGATATCAAATGAAAGGTCTTGCCACATAGGATACTTATGTAGAGTATGGAAGCCCTAGCTCTAACCATTCAGAAGTTATAGCCAAGGTTGAAAATTTTTGAAAGTAGGTCAAACTTTAAGGTCAAGGTCAAAGTTCTTGTTTTCAAATGAAAGGTCTTGTCACAAGGATTAAATGTGTAAAGTATGGAAGCACCAGCCCTAACCCTTTAAAAGTTATGGTCAAGGATTGCTTTTTTAAAGTAGGTCAAACTTAAAGGTTAAAGTCAAAGGGTCAAAATGCTTGGTATCCAATGAAAGATCTTCTCACAAGGAGTACATATATGAGGTATGAAAGCCCTGTCCCTTACCATTCAAAAGTTATAGCGAAGGCTAAAATTTTTTTTCACAGGTACGGAAATATACAAGGTCAAAGGGTCAAGGTTCCAGGTATCCAATGAAAGGTTTTTTGACAAAAAATACATATGTAAAGTATAAATGTCCTGGTATCTACTGTTAAAAAAATATGGCCAAAGTAAAAGTTAAAAATTTTCATGTAAAAGTGGGTCAAACTCCAAGGTCAAAAGGTCACATTTGGTGGTACCCAAAGAAAGGTCTTGTCACAAGAAATACACGTGAAATATGAAAGTTATGGCTCTACCAAATCAAAGTTATGGGCAAGGTTAAAGTTTTTGCGGACAAACAGACAGACGGACACGACAAATACTATATACCCCCAAAACTTCGTAAAAAACTTTAACATTGGAAATAACTTTTGAATTGCAAGGGGTAGAGCTTTCATACTTCACACATGTAATCTTTATGAGAAGACCCTTCACTGGATACCAAGAGCTTTGACTTTGACCTTGGAGTTTGACCTGCTTTAAAAAAACAAACCTTGACAAAATATATTAAAGGGTACAAGCTATTGCTTTCATACTTTAGTTTTTTAATCCTTGTGACAAGACCTATCATTTGATACCTAGACCTTTGACCTTGACCTCAGAGTTTGACTTACTTTTTAAAAAAATGTAACCAATTAAATTTTTAAACGGTTAGGGCTAGAGCTTCAATACTTCAAATGTGTACTTTGTGGCAGGATCATTTATTGGATACCAATAACTTTGACCTTGGAGATTTCCTGACTTGTGAAAAAACTTGAACCTTAGCAATAACTTATAAATGGTAATAGGGCTAGGGATTCTATACTTCACATATATATTTTCTGTGGCAAGTCCTTTTATTGGATACCAAAACCTTGACCTTTTGACCTTGACATTCCAGGACTTATGAAAAAACATTAACCTTGGCAATAACTTTTGAAGAGTAAGGGCTAGGGCTTTTATACTTCCCATATGTAATTTTTGTAACAAGACCTTTCATTCAATACCAATAACCTTGAGCTTCTGACCTTGATCTTGAAGATTTATGTACTTATGAAAATTTTTTTGCCTGGTCATAACTTGGGAACAGATTTTGATAGGGTTTTCATGTTTCACAATTGTATTTCCAGTTAGGGGACCCTACTTTGGGTAACAATATATTAAATTTGCATTTAAGAGAAGCTTAATCTTCACTATGTTGCCATACCGGGGCATCAGTGTTTCACAAACACATCTTGTTTGGAAATCTACTTGCATTCAAATTTTTTTTAATACTAGATTTGAGTGTGAATTCCCTCTCAATGTCAAGTACATGTATGTGAATGTACTGTGTAACTCATTAAAAGTCATGTGTATACAATTTACATATTTACAGACACAAATATGAAGCCCACTATTTTAAGTACACATACAGTATATAGGCCATATAGTAGCTCCCATATTTTGAACATGTATTTCCAATGTTGGTGAACAATATTTGGGTCTACAATTATCACATGTATATGACAGAGCTCCAACTTTTCCAACATGCCTTCCATTATATGTTTGTCATTCAAGTCCAAAAGAACACCAGAAAAAATCACTATTTAATATCCATTCAATAACACATCATTACCAGACAACTTTAAATAAAATAAATGTGCAAATTACTTTCAGGAAATTTTTTTTAAAATCTCATTGCAAAATATTCAAATAGAAAATGCCTCAATATTTTGGTAAATATATATAATATACAGATTTACAAGAGGCTCAGGGACCAACTGGTTCACCTATGCAATGTGGCTAAGAAAAAAGCAAAAATCAGATTAGTATTGAAAAACTTAAATGCATAAATGGTCCTGACATACCCCTAAAAGGGAGGGGTATGATTTGACAAAATTGAACGTACACTAAATAAGGATGTTTATATATTTTTGACTGTGGCCTTTTTCCCTAAAAGTTTGAACTCTCAGTGTGGCCCCACTCTACATCCAGGGGGTCATGATATGTACAAACTTGAATCTACCCTATCTGACAATGATACCACATGAGTATTCATCTTTCTTGGCCCAATGGTTAAATAGAGTATCAAATGTAAATATTTCAATAATGAAAATGTATCAAAAATGCATCATTTCAAATGAAGTGTTAAATAATGTTAAAAAGACAAAGTTCACGGAACAGGAACAACACATGCAATCTTTCATCAAGAATTCTCTGAAATTTAACATGACTCTTTTTTCTTCCAAGTTATTCACATTGCAACTTTTTGTCCAGACCGGCACACTCTTCTAAGGAGACTTCTCTGATATTTATCAAGGCTGTGTTTTCCTTATCATCCAACTGCCAGATTTTCGTCCATAGGTCTAAAACTTATGATGTGCTCAAAGTCTATCAGGGTGAAGTTCAAACACCAACATAAAATTTATGGTTCCTGAACCCTGAAAAATAACATTAAAAACACAAGAGTCTTTATAATTATCACTGACACACATAATCATGGGAAAACTTGGTAGGGTAGAGCAGTTTTTTCATGATACGTATGACAAGTGGAGGGCTCCCAATGTGACAGCAATCTGGGTTTTTCTTGTGTGAACAGACTTGGCATAAAATTCTTACATGAATAAAAAATGTACATTTGCAAGAGTTGTCTCCCTTTATCAAAAAAAAAACCCTCCCTATTTTCTCACAATATCCTTTGTAACTTGCATGAATTTAAAAAAAATATTTAGACTTCTTTTGACAATTTCATAACGGCAAAGTATGGGGCGACAAAAAAGCCCTCGCAAAATGAACATACACTAGGATATTTTGCACAGAAATGACAAAGGTCAAATAAAGACCCATGGGTCACATTGCTCACCTTAGCTCTTTGGCTTTCAGTATTGAAAAGTAATAATTCCTACTGGGCCCAAACTAATCCTAAGGGGAGGGGAAGCGGGCATGATTTGAACAAGCTTAAATCTATACCAACTGATGATGCTTTCTATTTCTTTGACTAATCATGGCCTTAGAAGATTTCTAATGATCTTTCCTTTGTATTTTTGTGTAAAACTTTGATTTCCATTGTGGCCCCATCCTTAATCATTATGTATGATAAACAGATGCCAGACACTTCTTAGTCGGAAAAGTTTACTTGAGCCTTATGCCCTTTTCACATGGAGAGTTTAATTCACAGTAAATTAATGAGAAGTAAAATAATGCGTATTTAATTGTGTTCACACGACAGCTAAAGCAAAGTAAACTTATGCAAATCAAAATTTTATTTCTACATTAGGGAGATCAGCAATGATATTATGACGTCATTTGTTATTCACATCATGTGTACCGAGCAGATTCAATTGACATAAAAATCATAGTGTTTTTTATACAATTTAGTGATTAACATATTTTTCCTTTATTTTTCCTTAAAACCTAGCACTGATATCTAAATCTAACTATTGACATGGGGCCTATGCCTTAATTCAGGCCTTACGCATGAGTCAAAATTTAATTTGAATTAGCTTCGCTTAGCGTTCACACAGAGCTAATGCGAAGTAATTTAATGTGCAGTTAATTAATTCAAATTAAACTTTTTCACATAAAACTCTCCGTGTGAATGATGTTCAAATTTAATTTACAGTAACTTACATTTGATTAAACAATGAAATGCTTTCTTTGTTTGTTATTTAAACAATAAAATGCTTTCTTTGTTTGTTATTACTGGAATGAACGGAAGCAGCTGTTGCAGAAAAAATACATAACCCGCGTAAGCGGGTTATGTAAATTTTTTCTGCAATAGCTGCGACCATTCATTCCAGTAATAACAAACAAAGAAAGACATTTTATTGTTTATATTTATATCTGTTTAAATAATCAGTTAAAGTAGGATTAAAAAGATTAATTATTGTATTAATGATGCGAACGTCTTTATATGTTTCGTTGATGGAACAGCCACTGATTAAGAAATCTGTACAGGCGACATGCCTACTGTAGTTTATGCAGTGATGAACGCAATGGGGTTTCTTAGGAAAGAAAGGAGAAAATATTCAGTGGATGTAAATATTTCGAATTAAACTCTCTGTGTGAACAGGGCATTAGACTCAGGTAAGCTAAATTGCAAATAATTATTTATAAAGTAGATGACTGTTCTAAACACACCAATATATTTCTGCAGAATGAATAAAAATATAAATCTCAATGTAAAACTTTCTGAGTATCCATTACATTTTCTTAAACCCCCTACCCCCCAGGATAAATCTGCCACTGTTATAAATATATAATTCCTTAATTTTTTCTAACCACTTTTGTTCTTTTTACCTCTGTGTCATCTGCAATCTTTTTCTTTCTTTATAACACTGTTTTCTTTCTTTAAAACCTGCATGCCTCTAAAAATCAAGACTCTTTGTTGCTCCTAAAATTAAATGTAGTCATGTGCAAATAATTCTTTAAAAACTACAGCATATTTTCTATTTCTCATGGTGACTGAAGATTGAACAAAAAATGTAGAATTTCAATATTTTCTGAAATGTTTCATATTAAGAATTTGTCAATTGACTCTTTTAATGGCAGCTGTGACTTGAAAAACAGAATATTGAAAATTGTTTTTTTTTTTTATCATTGAGCAGGTGAGCTAAAACAAATCCAATACATGAGTTATTCCTGGTTGTGTTTATATACTAAGTGATTTATTGTGCAGTTTATTGAACACACCCAGTAAATTTTAACAATAACATCGCTCTTGATAACAAACATAGGGTCGCCCATTTGGAGCAGTGGTTAAAGCTTTTGCTCTTAGAGTTGCAGAGAAAGGAGTTGATCATTATCTTTTGGGTTCAAATCCCACTTTGGGATGTGGAGACAGGTCTTTTGGATGAAACCATATAAATCAAGGTCCCATGTCACAGTAGGTGCTGGCACAAAAAAGATCCCTCACTGTTCAATAGCCCTGAGTGCCGAGTATTAGTCAAAACTTGAAGCTCTCTACTTATAGGTGGTGGTGTCTCCATATGAGTGAAAAAGTCTCGACAGGGACGTTAAACCATACACGGATCTAGAGGGGGGAGGGAGGACCCCCCATGGAATTTGCAAAGTTTTCAAATTTATATACTAAAGCAAGAAAAAAGTTACCTTGGACTCTCCCTCGGAAAACGAAGAACTCCCTGGTAAATGCGAATTTTTGTTAAATTGGTATGTAAATATGAAAATTCCAATGATAGAAGTCTTCAACTACCCCCCCCCCCCCCCCCCAACACAAAATAGGTTTTTGAAGTTTGGGCGAGCGGCCCGGACCCCCCCCCCCCCCCCCCCCCGGAGAATGTCCATCTGTGCCTGTGTTAAACAACAAACATACATAGAAGTTTGCAGTCATATTAAGAGAAAAGTTTTGATCCAATAATAGATAACTTAATAAAATCAGGAAATCAAGACAAATCAATATATGAAATCATCAATAGTCGTTTATCAGAGTTTCTAATAACAGTAAGAATCAACCGACATTCAACATAAATGGCTTATTGCAGAGAAAATTCAAGCTAATCTGTAAAATACAAGCATATACTGTTCGTAAAGATATATCATTCAACTTTACGCCACTTTATCTGGATTTGGAACATAAATACACAACGCAATGGCATGCATTGATGCAATCTCAATCTCCTATACAAAAGTACAGAGATAATTCGAACTAGTTCTTCCGAAGCTGTCGTTTAATAAGGGTTTAATAACAGCATACTGACAGCTGATTTCTGTGACATTTCCTTTATCGAATGAATGGAATTCACTTCCTTGTACATTAATATAACAAAATCATCTTTACTTACCGGCAAACCGCCTGCCTTTCACTGGCGCCGTCCTCGGCACTGTTGATACTAGGGAAGCACATGGCCTTAAACCACGTGATTGTCTTCGGCAGACAAACGTTTACTTTTTCAAGCGTCCAAATAATAATAATCTTTCCCAAAGAAAATCTGACAAGATTATAATTGTTCAGTACATCAAAATCACAGAAACGTTTGATTTCAAGCGTCTAAATAATAATAATGTTGCAAATTTTTTGGTCGCGATTATTATTGTTGGAGTAAGACAGATTATAATTGTATGATCGATGTGGAATAAAATTGGCATGAAATTGAAGCGAAATAAAAATAATGTGTTCGCTTGGGCAAACATGATTATAATTGTTAAAAGTAAGAATAATTATTATAATTTTGAGGTGAAATAAAAATAATGTTTTTAAACATCGACTGACAAGATTATAATCATGAGGCGAAAAATTATAATAATGTGTCCACATTGACTGGCAAAAATATTATTGTAAAGTTTGGATCATTATAATTGTAGGACAAAATAATAATAATGTGTACACATCGACTGACAAGATTATACTCATGAGGCGAAAAATTATAATAATGTGTCTACATATTGACTGGCAAGATTAATTATTGTGAAGTGAATCATTATAATTGTAGGACACAATAATAATAATGTGTACACTTTTAACAGACAAGATTATAATTTTTGCAGGAAAATAATAATAATGATGTAAAAAGCAAGTTTGGATGACATAATTATTTTTGGTATAATTATATAGGAAAAAATAATAATAATGTGGGGGTACCCTACGGCTTTCCATAGCTTTCATACTTCATTGTTACATTACCTTATAGTGGTTATAATCATTCGTGACCTTAGAGTTTAACCCACTATTAAAGAAAAATATTGTAATTTTTTTTTTTATTTTTCTTTTTTCATATCTTACAGACTGTGGTTTGCCCAGTGTAGATGGAGCTGATATAAATAGCTCAGACAGGTGGGACGGCATTGGGATCCTACGAAGAATGCATATTAAGTGTTATAAGGAGTTTTATCAAACCGGGTCTGGAATAATGACGTGTGGTTCAAACGGAAAATGGATAACGAATCTAGGATGTGGTATTACATTATTATGTTCCCCAAACGAAGTTGGGGAACATATTGTTTTTACTCTGTTTCTTATTATGTTCCCCAAACGAAGTTGGGGAACATATTGTTTTTACTCTGTTTCTTATTATTATTATTCTTATTATTATTTTTCTTCTTCCTGGGAAAATTTTGTCCAAGAGTGATCTTGTAAACTACACATCCGACTTAGGCGAAACCTTTTTAGGGTCAGTAGGCATGTTATGTAGAGTTGCCAAACAAAGGTCATTTTACGCGCACGTGCTTGCAAGAGCGCGCACGTGCAACAGGTGAAATTACCAGTATATAATGGATATTGCCGTAACTTTTCTATTTTTTGATGAAATTTTTTGAAACTCATTATGTAAGGATACATTAGTAGTATAGGCAAGATAGCATGGTCAAATAACAAGATCTCACGCGCATGCACGTGCGCTTTGCTCTGATTGACTGAAACTAAAGTCTCAATAACTTTCTTGTTTCTTGTCATAATCCTTTGAAATTTTGAACATAGTCCTACATTATGAAGATCTATCGCATGATATATAAGAATTTTTTATGAAATCATGCGCATGTGCGCGTGCTGCAAGCTGATTGGCTGAAAATTTAAATGGCAATATCTCCTTTGTTTTTTGACGAAATTCTTAGAAATTTAAAATATAGTCATGCATTAGGATATCCTACAAAATGATATAGAAAGAAATCATGAAATCACACACATGCACGTGTGCTGCAATCTGATTGGCTGAAAATTTAAATGGCTATTTCTCCTTTGTTTTTTGACGAAATTCTTTGAAATTTAAAATATAGTCATGCATTAGGATATCCTACAAAATGAAATAGAAAAAAAAATCATGAAATCACGCGGATGCACTTGTGCTGCAATCTGATTGGCTGAAACTTTAAATGGCTATTTCTCCTTTGTTTTTTGACGAAAGTCTTTGAAATTTAAAATATAGTCATGCATTAGGATATCCTACAAAATGATATAGAAAAAAATCATGAAATCACGTGCATGCACGTGTACTGCAATCTGATTGGCTGAAACTTTAAATTGCTATTTCTCCTTTGTTTTTTGACGAAATTTTTTGAAATTTAAAATATAGTCATGCATTAGGATATCCTACAAAATGAGAT